AAATTTCCTGAGAAATGAGACTTGACTGTCAGAGTACTCTTATTGATTGGCTTACTAGCCAACCAATATGAGTTCTCTATTAAGATATCAATGCATGGAAATGCCTTTATGCATGGAAATGCCTCATTGAAACCTCATTCTGCGCATAGCCTATTTGTTGTTGTTGATTCAGTGTCCAATATCTGGAACTAGTTGTAAGATATGTAAATACTTCAGTTGTTGTTCCCATTTTTGTTTTCTCATTATGTGGTGTCTTGTTAGAACCATTTGGATGTGAAGTGTTTTCTCTGAGTACGTTAATGGACCTAAGTAATGTGATCTTCTTAATTGGATTAATATGATCAAGGAATAGGAGCTCCTTCCTCTATGTGATTAAAATGCCACACTTTTAAGATACTACAATATTATACTGTATCTTTAAATGTTTTTTTATGAGCCAGTTCGCTGTTAAATTGGATACAATTATACTGGACATTTTCCTCATTATTGCATATATTTTATTGTAATGCTTTTTGTTAATTTTCTTGTTTGAATTTCCCTTGCCCTTAATTGCAATAGGAGATTAGAATACTTCCGATTAAGTGTTTGCTTATCCAATAGGAATGGGTGATGAGTTTAACATATGATGGATTTTATAATGTGGTCATACGAGATTGAAGCTTACACAGATGAAATGTTTTATTACTACCTGTGAACTAAGCCATATGATGTCCGTTTCTCATTCCTAATTACTCATTTTTGTTTTGCCACATTTTATTTTTTTCATCTTTAGATGTGACCATTTAAGGGCTGAAGAAAAGAAGATTCAAGAAAAAATAAGACTTTTGTTGGCAAGTTTATTTTTTACAGGTATTAGAAGTTATTGCCCCCCTCATTATTATTAGTAGGGGGGGGGAGTTGGTGGGGTACTTTTATTATGATTTATGTGTCTAAAGCCTTGGGGGGCTTTCTTCAGGAACAATCGGACTGAACTTGATGGACACATGTCTATTTTCAGCCTATGTAACTATGTAATATTCATATGTTCTAAGTACAAAATTGAGTTGCCTTAATGACAACTGTGATTTCTTAATTTCTTATCTTTTTTTTACTGGATCTAGTTAACATATTTATTTTGGGTGTGAAGGGAGGTGATCATCACCAGCCCACATTAATTCCCCTGTTTTACCGAAGTGGAACACTGAACAATACATGTTTTAATGTTGTACACACCTATCACATCATAAAGGTTAAACTGGACTCTAGTAGGAAATGTGCAAGCAATTAAAAAATACACAAACTGTGTCATGTAAAGTCATTATCTGTTTTTCTTTAAAAAATAAATGGTTCAATATGTGTAACCTCACATTTTACAGCTGGTTTGTTCCTGCGGTCTGTCTCATACAGCTGTATTGGTTAAAACTAATTCCAAAACAAGCCTTAGATAAAACCTGCAGAGCAACCAAATCAAATTTTTATGCTTTTAATTATTATTTTTCATCAACAAATACAAAGCCACAAAAATATATCAGTATTTTTTATTGAAAACTCAGCTCAATAAAACTTGGCAAAAAATAGACTAAATGTACTGCATCTTGCAGATGTTTAAGGCACAATTTGTCAATCTATAATAAGCAAACAAACTTAAAAAGCAGAATTAATTATACTCTATACTAAAATGAATGGGTGAATTATCATAAAAATAAAAAACAAAACAGGACTATCTTTTTTATATTAAATAAAATATATAAATAGATCAACCAGTCTATGTATTGATGTGTTACTATGTAAGTGTTTTGGAGAATATGCATGTAAGCAGAATTTCATGACTAATATTGTGTTGTGTTACTATACATTATGAATCATTTGAAAGTGAAGTTTAGTGTTTAATTGATGGCAAGTTTGCCTCTTTTTTTAATTAATTTACAATATGGTTGGCTTCTAGTGTCTTACGTGCTGTGAGGTCATTGTAGGGTTTAGATATAACGTCACTAATGTTGGTGTGTTCAATTGTTGCTAGAACTGCAGTGTATGGTATATAGTTGTTACTAGTTGTGAATTTATCATTTGCAGGAATGTTGTGATTATACAGGTGATACTCGAAGAATTAGAATATTGCACAAAAGTTCATTTATTTCAGTAATGCATAAAAGGGGAAACTAATATATGAGATAGACGCATTACATGCAAAGCAAGATAGTTCAATACGTGATTTGGCATAATTGCGATGATTATGGCTTACAGATCATGAAAACCCCAAATCCACAATCTCAGAAAATTTGAATATTACATGCAATCAATAAAACAAATAGTGTACATAGAACAATATTGGACCTCTGAAAAGTATAAGCATGCATATGGACTCAGTACTTGGTTTGGGCCCCTTTTGCAGCAATTACTGCCTCAATGTGGCGTGGCATGGAAGCTATCAGCCTATGGCACTGCTGAGGTGTTATGGAAGACCAGGAAGCTTCAATAGCAGCCTTCAGCTCTTTTGCATTGTTTGGTCTCATGTCTCATCTTTCTCTTGGTAATGCTCCATAGATTCTCTATGGGGTTCAGGTCAGGCGAGTTTGTAATCCCATTTTCATTGAACCAGGCTTTGGTGCTTTTGGCAGTGTAGGCAGGTGCCAAGTCCTGGTGGAAAATGAAGTCAGCATCCCCATAAAGCTCATCTGCGGAAGGAAGCATGAAGTGCTCCAAAATCTCCTGGTAGACGGCTGCATTGAACCTGGACTTAATGAAGCATGGTGGACCGACACCAGCAGATGACATGGCTCCCCAAATCAACACAGACTGTGGAAACTTCACCATGCACTTCAAGCATCTTGCAGTGTGTGCCTCTCCATTCTTCCTCCAGACTCTGGGTCCTTGGTTTCCAAATGAGCTGCAAAAGTTGCTCTCATCAGAAAAGAGGACTTTGGACCACTGAGCAACAGACCAGGTCTGTTCTTCTTTAGCCCAGGTAAGATGCTTCTGACGTTGTTTGTTGTTCAGGAGCAGCTTGACAAGAGGAATACATCTGAAGCCCATGTCCAGGATCCATGTGTGGCTCTTGATGAACTAACTCCAGCCTCAGTCCACTCCATGTGAAAGTCCCCAACACTTGTTTTCTGCACAACTGTCAGGTCAGCAGTCTTCTCCATGATTGTGTTGCCTACTGAACCAGACCGAGAGACCATTTAAAGGCTCAGAAACCCTTTGCATGTGTTATGGCTTAGCTGAGTGGTTTAGCTGATTAGAGTGGGACAATGTGAGCCTAGAATATTGCACCTTTTCACAATATTCTAATTTACTGAGATTGTGGATTTGGGGTTTTCGTGAGCTGTAAGCCATAATCATCACACTTATGACAAATCACAGCTTGAACTATCTTGCTTTGCATGTAATGCGTCTATTTCATATATTAGTTTCCCCTTTTACATTGCAATACGGAAATAAATGAACTTTTGCACGATATTCACATTTTTCGGGTATCACCTGTAGGTTGCTAGAGTTGCAGAGCTTATGTATCACTAGGAATTAGGAAGTATTAAGTAATAACCAACATGCAGAACTTAAGTTAACTAAATAAATATAACCAGAAATACAAAAACATATTACCGGACCTTATAATGATTTAATGCTATTTAACAATAATAAACAGAACAAGCTGAGGTCAGGAAAACAGATTGCACGTAAACTATAAGACAAGAAAAAGATCAAGGAATACAAAAATCAGAATAGTCAAGGTACAGGTCAGTGTCAAGCTACAATAGAATCAATACATATAACATGCTTTTGGATAACCAATATGTAAACCATGACAGGACACTGGAAAATAACTCATTCGAGTTTAATTACCCTAAAAAGCATGTAAGCTCATTGAGCAGGGCCCTCAACCCTTCTGTTCCTGTGTGTCCGACTTGTCTGGTTACAACTACATGTCTGTTCGTCCACCCATTGTAAAGCGCTGCGGAATTTGATGGCGCTATATAAATATCATAATAATAATAAAAAGGGCACCGATTGGCCATTAGTGGTCACATGAAGTTGGAATGTGTGCATGCGTCATCTGCGGGATGGCGCAAGCATATTTGTAACTTAAAATAGGGGCAGAGAAGATAGAGCCATAAAAGGTTCAGAAGTGCAGCGGCTGGTGTTGTAAGGTTGCAGGAGGAGGTCCCCATGGAGGTGAGTGAGAGCGACACCGGCGGCTGTCAGTTCCAGAGTTAGAAACAGATTTTGTGGAACACAATTGCAGAAAAAATTAAGTAATGTCTCTTTACAAAGAAAATAAGGTAGCTTACTTGTTTAAATAGCCAGAAATTATGAATGGATATTCAATTAAAACAAAAATTAGTTGAATTTCCTTCCTTTAAAACAGTTTATGCAAGGAATAACTTTAAGCAGAATTAAATTGGCAGAAGTCTGTTACAGAATTAATCCAGCAAGAACAATAAGAAAGTTAAAGGCTAATAACACATAGGTTAAACGGAGGGAGCTGCGGCTGCCCTTTAAAGAGGCTGCATGTGACGTCAGACGCATGGGCAGAGTCGATCAGCAAAACCTGGAAGGGAGTTTTGCTGATCGGTAAGCATGACAGCGACATGCCCACGAACTCTGCAGGAACATGCTGCAGTGGAGCACATTCCACCTTTGGGTGACAATACACCCTCCCTGAAAACCACCCAAAAAGTGGAAAGAAGCAGGTTTATGGTTAAAAAACTAAACAAAAAACAAAACAGTGGAAAGTCCAATAAAATACCAAGGGTATGAAATAGTCCTAAAGAGATGGTGTTTCTTCAAATGTTCGTATGTAGTTGTTGATACAGCTCAATTCAGCATCAGCATATTAAAAAAAGACAGACGGAACCAATAGTGCAATATGGCAAATTAGATTGGCTACGGACAACACTGAAATATACAAATGCCAAATCACATATCATAGAGCTATGATATATAGCTCTATGATATGTGATAAGCCCACTGGCACCCGCTTTAAATCCAGACACCATTAGACTGCTCTACTACACCTTCCAAATCCAGACACCACTTAACTGCTCTACTACATTTTCCAAGATTGGAAGGTGTTGTAGAGCAGTTCAATGGTGTCTGGAATTGGAGCGGGTCTAGGGAAGTGAAATATCACGAGAGCGCCACCGATACACTGTGAAACTACCATCATAGGGCTATCCTGCAAGTGGGGATTTTATACTGTTAAACATTAAATGACAGAGTGGTGTTTACCAGATATTATGTAGAATGGATTATGCCTTAATGACTCATGTGTGCAAATTTAGCACAAGGGAGAAGCTCTGACCAATTGTCTTGATTGTGGAATATAAGAAAAGCCTCTAGGAACTGGTTAGCTCTCTCTGCTGATGGATTAGTTTGGAGATAATACAAGGATAAGAATTACAACCAGATTTCAAGTTCAGAGAAGAACTTTCTACAGAATTGCAAAACGAATATGCAATATATGGGAACTCCGCCCCATCACAGGCAAGGAGCGGAGAGCTACGGTGCCACTTCCACTGAGGAAGAAGACACTGTCCCTTCTTCCCCAGCTGCGAACACATGGAAGTACCTGGAGTTCACCAAAGATAAGCCATGTCAGATGCGGAGGGAGACATGGCTAGTGAGTCCCAGGTGAGTGAGTCAAGGGCCCTCACAGTTTATTAGCAAAGTTCCACTTCTGTTGCTTAGAAAATTTATCCACAGTTCATAAGTCAAAAGAATCCCACAGATGGGCAATCTGCAGACATCATTGACAGAGAATAATAAAATGGCAGCATGGAGGAATTGAGATCAGGCACAAAGAAGAAAACATAAAAATATTTTTTAAAAAAGGCAAGTAGCAAGACAGAGAATATAATCATTATGATACAAGAGGCATAAGGAAGAAATAGTGACAGGAGAAAAAAAACGTGACTGTGCTGCTTTAATTAATTATACACATTCTTCATTTTTCAATATGTTTTAACACCATTCCTAAAATAAAAGAAAAAGCCTAAACTTTAAGTTTTTAGGGGTTATAGTGTGTACAGTATTTTGAGTTTCTGCCATTTTCATGAAGTTAGATACCAACTAAAATATTCCACCACCAAATACCATACCACTCTATGAAGACATTATAATGTGGAAATTTGTCATTAAGAGTTTTCAATATATATTTATGCCTCTGAAGATGTACTAGTTATGTATAAATAATCATTCTAAAGCAAAGCTCTAAAAGTGAAGCAATCATCAGAAACATTTAATTGGTTTCCATGGTGGCTGCACTAATTTTAGAACTGTGAACTTTGGAACTTTTTAGAACTGTTCTCCAAAATATATCTGTGAGCTAAGGCTTAATAATCACACATTTTTGCCTGACCACAAGCAGGAATATATATGTAAGATTCCAACATTATACTGTAGATAAAATTAGTAGGAAAAAAAGAGTACAGAAGCATTGTTATAACATTTTTCCAATATTATCTTGTTTATCTGTTGTTTGTTTTTTCTGTTTGTCTCAGCTGCCAGAGCATATGGCCATGGATAAAAAATTAGTATCAATATTGAGAGTAATGATCTACTTTATTCTCTTGAGTTTCCAGTGTAAAGTCAATATTATCATTACATACTATTTAAATGAACTGAGTCAGGGCTATGTAATGTAAGTTTGAGCAATTTTATGTATATCACATATATTAGAGAACAGCCCCCATCATCACTAAAAAAGCAGTCAACTAGTGCCATTTTTCCAAACCAAAGTTTGATGGACAAAGGGAAACACTGATGGAAAATCTCAGTAATACATGATAAACAAAGTTTATTTTTACTTCAAATGATGCTTGTTCATATTATTATTATTATTATTATTATTATTATTATTATTATATAATAGTATTACCCATAGATATTCAAATCTATATTACATTCTGGTGAGTATTTTATATTTTCCAGCAAAGTTATATGTACGTAGGAGAAAGGTAGACATACATAATAAAGATATCAGTAAGACACAAAGATAATATGAATTTAGAATATGGATAAGCCACACGTGGAGAGATGGATGGATTGGGTGCCAGACCTATTGAAATGCATTGCATTGTGTAGACAAAGATAACAGCATATAACCCATGGCCTGAAGCTAAAGCTAAAAGCTATACCTATGTATCTTCCCAAAAAATTTCAAAATATTGCTTTCTGAGTCGAATGGGCAAACTCAGGAGTGAGTGCATTTTCATGCTAAATAGTTAAAATAATGCCATTATAATTCCATAAATCAATAAGGTTATATGATGTAATAGCAATAAAAGAACAAATTAACATTGGTTTATGTATTATACATGTATATATATGTTCATATATTATATGTGTATTATAGATGAAAACATTTTGTTTATTTGTTCTTTTATTGTCATTGCTTCATTTAACCATATTGGTGTAGTTGCATGCACAACATGTGTATATATATAAAATTCTATGATTAGTTCACAATGCAGTTTCTGACTTAATCAGAATGTGCAGTCCAGCATGGGTCATAGAATGAACAGATGGCTTTGGATGGTCTTCAGATGCTCATTATTGCTGCTTCATTGCAACATAAGATGTTTATGAAATGTAAAACATATTTGCTTCATATTTTGTATTCTCAATCAATGCAAAACACTAGAGTTAAGGCAATCGTATTCAGAAAGCCCATATTTTATACCATTTGTACAGTTTAGGTTTGTTACATGTTCTAGCTCAAACTCTCACATATTATTTGTTCTAAATGTCTGAAAAATATAGTGATAATGAATAATGGTAAAAATATAAATTTTATAATTGTATGTGTATGTGTAGAAGCAATAATATCAGATACTTGTAGATCCCCATTTTATATATCTACATTTTATTTGAACAATAAATAGCAAATACCACTTATGGCACTGATATCAGCAGACCGTTAACTTAATTTGATCAGTCAGCATGCCATCTGCTGTATTCCCAACAAGTATGTGGTAAATACTGATGGCAGATCGTATAGAGGCACTATGACTAAACCAGATATTTTAGGGGGCATCGGTTATTAAAGTGCCTTACTGGGTTTTACACTCAGTAAATGTAGAAGGCCAAATATGGGTAAACTTAATATTGCTAATGAGTAGCAAGTAGGCAAGGCGGAGTCTGTACTACAAGCGACTCAAATTTTATTGGGCAGTCCACTAGAAAATCTAGGGGATGGCACTTGCATAACTATTTATGTGCTGACAATACTCGGATTCACCTCTCCTCCCTGGCCTCTCAGCTGCCTTTCTGGATTGAATCACAAATTGGCTCTCTTCCAACTCTGGATACCTACCTGTTTTAAACAACTAAATATTTCTCAAACTGAGCTCATCGTCTTTCCCTGTTCAAATAGTTCACCCTTAATCTTTCTTCCTGCTGGTCAATGGGACACCTATTACCCAGATCCTTCAAGCTTGCTGCCTTGGAGTAACTTTAGTCTCTGGTCTAACCTTTTCTCCTCACATCCAGCCTGTCTTTAAATCCTCTATCTTCCATTTAAAAAAATATTGCCTAAATCTCTATTTTTCTAATAAAAAAAAAAAAAAAAGGCCCATTTAGTTCTGGACATGACTACTACTTGACTACAATAAGTCTACTCCTTTCTACATTTCCTCATTTCCGTTGTATTCCCTACACTATATGATACTCCCCTCTAGCCTTTAATCCTTTTAGAAGTCACTAAGAACACACCTCTTGGGGAGTGTCTGTAATGATCCTGTGTTACTGTTCTCCCGTTGTAATTGCCCTCTATAATTTGTTTTCATAGCTGAACTCTCTTCGTGTTATTGCACTCTTTGTATACACTATGTTTACTAGCTTAATTTTAGCAGACATAATATGCATCATATCCATTGATCTCTCCTCCCCTCTTACCTGATGTTCTTACTTTTGTTTGTTTTCCCCCCACCCCCCTTGATAGATTGAAATCTTATTTAAACCGGGCTTTCTCTACTTCTTAAAACAATAGAATAAATACTGCACCAGTCAACGAAATGACAATTTGGGATCAATCTAAAAAACACAAATTACATAACATAGTGCAAAATGTATATGTATATATATAATGATCAACCCCTTATATAGAGTAAACTCACATGATTTAGAGCCATCCCAGGCTCTATATAATATGCAGGAGGGTGCTTAAAAGGGCTAAAATGATATCCTTGAGGAGAGCAGCACAGGATACAAAGTGCAGAATTCAAAATGTATTAAACAAATAAACAATTAAAACAGGGACAATAAGCAGTGTATAAATAGTAAAATATACTAGGCACAAAGCCTAAATAAAACACTGCAGAGTAAATAAGAAAAAGTCCCAGATACAATACTTTGGTCTAACAGAAAACGCGTTTCAACTCCAGCTGGAGTCTTCTTCAGTGCTTTCTCTACCTCTTGCCTCTGTTTAATAATATTGTTTACGTCAATTACTTGTTGTCACATATCCCCATTTTATAATGATAAGTTATAGAATAGTAAAAGTGTATACACTCAGAGGCTAATAATAGTACATAACTTGGAAAAAAATAGCTGTAAATAATATATCTGTCACATTGGAAGCCAACATTATCAAAAAAGTACTAACCAATCAATAGTCAAGTAATTCTATTGTCAATTTCTAATTAATATAAATAAAAGTTATTTCCTTAGACTTTCACACTTGTTTTAAAAGAATAAACCAAACTCGTAAAAGTCCACAGTTATTCATTGTAATTGTGCATCAATAATAATATTTAATAAAGTCAATTTCTTGTTATAAATATAACTGTAATGTGTGCTCTGGCTAGGCATTAGCTCATTTTGTTTTCAGTTTATTTATTTATTTTATAAAAATAAATTAAATACCATTAAATACCATTGTTTAAAATGTAAACATACTTTAAGGTGAGATAAGGTGAGTAATTACATTGGCATGCTAAAAAAATACTAATTTAGATTCTCATAATAAAGCCAATTTAATTCTATAAAGAATACACAAGCAACGTATACCCTTAATGGAAGCAAATTAAGGATAACAACACACGAAAAGGACTTGGGAATTGTTATAGACAACAAACTATGCAACAATCAGCAGTGGCCAAG